ATATATATATATATATATATATATATTCTTATTACATATTTTACTCGTTTGAAGAGTTTGTGTGAGGAACTTAACAAGTTTAGGCCTATTCCTTTGTGCACTTGTCAAAACCCATGTGGATGTCATTTGATTCCTACAATTAGAGAGTATCATGACAATGATCATGTTATTAGATCAATACTTTGTTGTTCGTTCTCAAATTAGGCTTATGCAACCCTTGTCAAACATCAACAAGGTTTTTTATTTATTAATTCAATAAAAGAGACAGTTGTGTGTACAGATATCAAAAAAATTCACACCCGTGATTATTTGCAGATAAAATTTGTTACAAGTAGAAAATGAATATTGCAAATGAGTACTCGCAAATAATAAATACAAATATTTTCTATACTCAATGTTAACAGGATAGGTACGGGTGTCTTAGTACTTGTACGTATGGGTACCCGCTAATACTCAATTACATAATTACATATTAAATTTTTTAAAATTTATAGGAATAATGTAATTTAACAATTAAATTTAGTTTTTAAATTAAGAATCTTGATTAATAAAATTATGTATAATATTTGAATAATTCAACTCTTGACCTTTAAACTATTATTTTTTATAAAAAAAATTATAATAAATAGAAATTGTTATTAAAATATTTTTGAAATTTTATTTATACTTTAAGTAAATATTCACGAATATTTGCAGGTACCCACTAATATTAAAAAAAAATATGTGGAGATCCACTTAACAGATACTTATACGGACTCAAACAAGCAAGTTGTCAATGGAGTGTCAAACTCACACAAGTCTTGTTTGATTTGGGATATGTACAATCTAAGGTTGATTACTCTTTATTTGTCAATCTAATCATGATTTTTTGATCGTCATTCTTGTGTATGTCGATGATCTTATTTTAGCGAGGAATGATTTGACAAAAATTGGCAATATAAAGACATTGTTGGATACAAAATTCAACATAAAGGACCTTGGGCAACTGACATTTTTTCTAAGCTTTTAAGTTGGTCGATCAAAGCAAGGAATTAACCTTTACCAAAGAAAATATGCTCTAGATCTCTTGTAAGACACAAGATTTATTGTTGCCAAAGCCATCCCTACTCCTAGAGATTGAAAGGGACATCTTCACAATTTGTGTGGCACTTTACTACAAATCCTAGCCAATATCATATATTAATAGGGAGACTTCTCTATTTCTTACCAATTCAAACCCTTTCCTAAAGATGTTTGGTGACTTAGATTGGGTTACATACTCTAATACTCTTAGAACCATTATTGGCTATTGTTTTTACATTGGATCTTCTTGATCTCATGTTAAAGCAAAAAGTAAACAACTGTCTTCCAATCGTTCTCTGAAGCAGAATATCGAGTACCCATGTAGCTTGTGAGACTCAATAGATTTTGTATTTACTTCATGATTTACATGTACTTTACTTTGATATCATCTTAAAATAATAGTTTAGAGTCTAACTCAACCTTATAAAACTGCTTATAAATAAAGATTAGTGTCACTTATATACACTATTATAGTTTTATTTCTAGTCAATATATAATTTTCAACATATTTTACTATCGGTTGGATCAACATCGATTTTATAACACATTGATGTTAAAAGTCTTGTTATAAGTGGGACAAAATCCTCCCACCATTGCTTTAAAATGTGATCATGATTATCCTTTAATCTAATAGAAAAAAAAGGGTAAAATATACCTATGAAGATGTGTAATTCTGATTATCCGTCACTAACAATAGAGAAATTTCGTCAACTTATACTTTAATTCCTTTGTGTGATTACAATATGATGAAGCTAGAATGCCATTAATGAATTAGCAATTTGATCTTTAATTGTATTTTCAGGGTTTCATATTAATTTGTTTCCAGCATGTTGGTACGTGCACATGGCAAACATTATCTTTTTTGGCCCCATTGTTCGTGGATGTTATGCTTAATTTAAGTTCTCCGGAATTATTTATATGATCCTGAAAGTTTACATCTTTCAGTAGCTTTTTCATTTATTATTTTAAGATTTATATTTTACACACACTCGTCCCATATATCATCCCATGTTTGCCGGATATATTATTTTAAAATTTTAATGTATCTAAGTGCATTCTTCAAGTTGGCAAGAATTTGGATAAATTAAAACGTCAGAAAATGTATGGGTGTGAACATAAGAAATGGACAAGCATAAGGGACATTCAATTCCATGTCGCTTATTTCACCAAACCGAGTTCTTTCAACAATAAAAAACACATCCAATCTCATTCCGAAGAAGAACTCTGATATCAGATATAAAATCAAATCAAATCAAATAAAGAACAGGTTTTTATTTCATCTGCAATTAATCCATAGTACTCCCAACTATATATTCACTTGTAGAAGTGTCTGTTATCTTGCACCTGAAGGAGTTCCTCGAGCAACTTATTATCCAAGTACTCCAACTCAAAAGTATCACCACCTTGCATCACAAGGCCATCACCAGAATAAGAAGAGGAAGAAGAAGAAGAAGAAGAAGAAGGAGGAGGAGGAGGCACAGTGAGAGGCATAGGTAACGATGAAGAGTTAGGATTAGGAGATTGATACTCATTTGGGAAATTGAGAATAGCTCTATGACCACGAAAATGAAAAGCAGCAGCATCGTAGGCACGTGCAGCTTCCTCGGCAGTGTCAAAGGTACCGAGCCAGACTCGAGTCCCTTTCCTAGTAGGGTCACGAATCTCAGCAGCAAACTTACCCCATGGCCTCCTCCGAATCCCTCTATACCGAACCTCACCATTTGGAACCAATCTTCCTGATCCCTCCATACTCTTTTTTTATCGATTCAAGTTTAGAACAGCAAAAACTAGAATCGAATATTATGTTTGTGTTTGAGTTATGTGTACTCTCTTGTGGGTTATTACTATTGTTATTGGACGGGGACAAGGGATAACGTACATATATATATAGCAGCAATATTTATGTTTGCGTTGCCTTGACCAAAGGGTCGTATTTGACGGTTTGAATTTCAAGTTGAATATATTCTGTAAATGATAATATTAATTTCGGGGGTGTTCAAGTTGACCTTACTCAGAATAATATAATATAGGTGCATCGTGCATGTATGTATATATGTATACATGACGAAGGCTTATTCGCATTTGTCGTGTTGCTGGCCACGCACGTGTGCATCATATATATATATATATATACTTGTTCTTTCTATATATATCAGCTAAATTATATTCACAGCTTATCAACTATATATGTGACAAAAGGCTTATTCAAAGATGACGGATCTATGAATATAGATTAAAAAAAAAAACGTAAGTAAATGAATATTATATATTTTTTTGTATTATAACCTAAAATCCACACCTTAGAAAGTAAGAGTCTCTCTTATCATGTGGATTAAAATTTTTCAATATATTTTGTTTTCTTTTTTGATATGCATATTATACACTATTTCAGCAACTGGTCAGAAAATTTCTCGTAAACACCTTAGATTACTATTTTTTTTTTCTTTCGCTGAGATATACTTCCACTAATAATCAAGATTAGTTTATTTATTAGTGTTAGTATATTTGATTTTCTTAATTATTTGCCTCTTTCAATCTATCACCTTTTATTTTTATATCTAAATTGATTGTAATAATTTTTTAAATTATTAATAGTTGTAAAAACCTTATCTTAATTAAAGTTGTTGATCCTAAATTTAAAACATAATTTCAATAATTAAAAATTTATTAACTATAAAATTTAATTTGATTTTTTACAATAACTTATTTTTGGATAAAATTTAATTTATACGTGAAAAATATTTATATAATATAATATAAATTTAAATAAAGAAAGAAATATGATGAGTGCAAAGATTAAAATACTAATTAATTATAAGTTTCGGTTTCGGTACACTCTTTAACATTATTATTAATTCCTTATCCGTCGCAATTAAGAAGCCTTATCTATAAAGTCTCTTCTCTTGAAACAAGTTGTCATAATCAGCTTTAATTTACTTTGTTTTGTGACAGTTGCCAAAGTCAGCTGGATGACAAATAGGATGCCTTTAAAGGTAAAACAGTAGAAGTCATTATATTCAAACGAGCAATTAAAGCCATTGTCAGCCAACAGATTTTTCTTTTTTAAGTTGAAAGCCAAAACAAACTTCAGATAACCATTATCTGACTTTTGGGCCGACTTAAAAAAAAGAGTTACAAAAGTAATTTTTTAAATAACTATTTACTTAAATGAATTACTTTTGTCACGTTAGCAATAATACAAATGATCCCAGACATTTTTGTTGGAAATGGAAAAGGAAAAAAAATGACATTTTGTGTGTGAACTAATTTAGACAAAAACGGATAGGGTACGGGGGCGTTTTTATATGTGGAGCAAAAGAAACAAAGCATCGGGAGTGGGAGACGTTTTTCATGTAGGGGAGGGTGCTTATTGCAAATTAAAAGAAAAAAAGTGTTAAGGGTAAATAGGTATGGCAACGGGACCGGACGCGGGCGTAAATTTTAACCACCTCGCCCCTGTTCCCGATACCTGCCGGAAGTAAAATCTAGATTTCTATTTCTACCTCTCGTAGGGTTTAGATTTTCCCGTCCGGCCCTCACTCCTATTCCTATTTTTTTCCTTTTAAATAAATATGTATTTTAAAAAAATAAAAAAATAAAAAGTAAAATAATATAAATTTTTATATATAAATATTTTTAATTTTAGTTTATATATATATATATAATTTTTCATTATATTATTAAGCGGCGCGAGAACGGAGGCGGGAGCAGGTATGGGAAAAACTCAAACCCGATAAACACAGGTTTTCTCTATCCAAATCGGGGCGGGTTCGGGCAGTTACTCACGAGACGGGTTAGATTGTCATGCCTAAGGGTTGAGGTGTTAAAATGGGATCAATTCGATAAATCAACTTGAGTTATTATGGATCTAGGTTAAAAAAAAATTGTATATTAATTTTGACTAAATTTTAGTTTGGCTCATTTAATCTGTGAGATAAATGGATTTGAGACTAAGTGAATTAGGTTTACCCATTTAACCCATTACAATATATATATATATATATATAAATTTTGATAAAAAATGACAACTCTTTATTTTATTTATTAAAATTAAGAACATATAATCAATTTTTTATTTTTTTATTTTTTTATTTTAAAATTTTGGTAAATCAATTTACCTAACCCACCAACCTATGATGGATTGAGTTTGATAGAAACTTTTTTAACTCATCAAAAAATGAGTCGGATTAGGTTGACTTGTTTAAATCATCAACATATAGTGACTCAATCTATGTAAATTAGGCTAGCCCACTTTGACCTATCTCTCAAGGGAGATGGGCGTTTTTACACTAAACATGTCACTGCCCGACCATAAACGAATGGAATTTTCACCATGCCCAAAATCATGTATGTTTACTTGCGTGCGCCAATTTTATATGAACATTCTATTTAACAAATTTTATTAGTTAATATATTTTTTAATTTTACTTACTTCAACTTTTAGTCATTATAGTTTTAAATAGATTTTTTAATCATTTTAAGTCTCTATAATTAAGACTGGTGTAGGGGAATTTAAGAGGGGTGATCGCTTTAGACCTAAAGTGAGAAAAATCCAAAAATAATTTAAATAAATTTATTATAAAAAAAATTACAATGACAATTCAATTTCAATTTATCAGTGTTAACAAAATTTTAGTTTTCACCAAAAAAATAAACACTTATTCACGCATAATTTTTTTTAGCTACACTTACATAATTAATTATGGGAGAAGGAAACATGAATTAAACATGTTTTTTAGTTCTTACAATATATTCATTTTATTTTTTAGTTACAAATTTTTTAGTTTATTTTTTGTCCTATAAAATATTATTTTTTAATTGTAGTCCTTGATGTTATTTTTAAATCCTTATAAAATGTAAAGTTTTGATAAGATTCCTATATGACTTATTTTATGATTATAGTCATTGATTTTTTCTTATAGATGTTTGTCACATCATTAATATATAGTGTTAGAGAATAAACTATAGAATAAATTTTATAGGGACCAAATTAATTAATATTTTTTTATGAATATTAAAATTATAACATATTACAGTGACAAAATATATTCAAGTAAAAAAAAGTTATATGTTATAAAATATGTCATTGTTAATAAAAATAAGTATTTAATTTTTTTATTAAAAATATTTATGTATCAAAAGAGAGAAGAAAGGCCTTTGTACATTATTTCGCCTTAGGTTAAAAAATTGTCAAGAATGAAGTTTAAGATAGATCTTTAATTTTAATCTATATATTTACATGATTTTATCCTTTTGGTATTTGTTGCTAATTTTTTATAGTTACCTCTTTTGTGTTGATGTGAGAGAGATGTTAATTAAATTTTGTGTGTTTGATGTCAAATTTGTTTTGCTAAAATTACTTTCTTAACACTATCTCTTTTGTACTTTCGCCTGCAATGATCATTGTTGAGACATTTTTTTTTATTCTGAAAAAAATTGAAAACCTCTTTAACACTCTTTTACCCTTAAAGATTTAACAAATAAAATATATATAAATTTTAGAAAATAAAACGTTATAGTAATGCTTTTCAAAAGCTTGTAAAAGAGTTCACTTCATTATTCGATAAAAACATATAAAATGTCATTTGAAAAGAAATAAAAACATCTTTTTAAATCAAATAAGTTTTGACATCAAAACAACTTAATATAAAGTTAACATAAAACATCCATTAATCTTAAAACTCGGTCTCAATGTCACACTATCAAGGCAAAATCTTTCTTTTTTGTTCTTTTTCATTAAACCTATCATCATGTACTTGTTTTATTCCTGCAAATGGTGATCAACCCAAATACAAACATACAAAAACACGAAGTGATAATATATTTCATCCATCACCACTACAAGAAAAATGATGATTTCTGATGAAAATTTCCGACGGAAACAAGTAAATTTTCGACAGATTTTTTTTTCCAACGGATTTAAATTCGTCGAAAAAAGTGGCATCGGAAAAAAAATTCGTCGGAAATAATTTAATCCGACAGAATTTTCCGTCGGAAATTATAATTTTTTTATTATTTTAATAAATTTATTAATGTAACAACCATAATATTTGGTCTCTCAAGAGTTCTATTTCACTACATTTCACTATTTAGCGTGTTTTATCCTTACTTGCTCAAGGGTTCTATTTCACGACATTTCACTGTTTAGCGTGATTTATTATTACTTGCGCAAATTCTGGGAAACTTCCCAGAAGGTCACCCATCCTTGTACTACTTCAGGTCAGGCACGCTTAACTGTGAAGTTCTAATGAGTAAACTACCAAAATGTATATGTATGTTATCAATATAACTTGTACAAATTAATTCATTTAAGTCATCCTCAAATATACAATCTCATACTTGTACTATAATAATAATATATAATAATTTTATATTATGAATAATAATAATAATATATTTAATTATTCTTTATTTATATGTACTTACTTTTATAATTAACATCTACTTATTTCTATTTAAAATTATAATTTAAATTATTTAATTTTATAATTTATAATGATAATATAATTTATAAAATTATAAATATTTATTTATTACATACTTATAAATTAAATTTTAACATTTTAAATAAATTATTAATTAATTTAATATATTTATTTACCTTAAATCAAACATATAAAATTCAAAAAATGTATTTATCCTTGTTTTATTTTCTAATTATCAATCATTAATAAAATACTAACTTAAAATCTTATATAATTATATCATAATATTCTCATATCAAATTTAAAACCAGAGATTAGTTATACAAAAATATTAAGATCATATAGTAAATTGTCAATAAGATTTTAGTTAAATAATTTAAAATTATTAATGTTTCAATTATATTGTTAATTAACAAATAATTTAC